ACACACACACACACACACACGAGGGAAGGAAAGAGGGATGAAAACTGAATAAGGTCTGGACAGTAGTGCCCCCTTATCCACGATTTCACTTTCCATGGTTTCAGTTACCCATGGTCAACCACGATTCAAAAATATTAAATGGAAAATTCCAGAAATAAACGATTCATAAGTTTTAAATTGTGTGCCATTCTGAGTAACATGATGCAATCTCTTGCCATCCTGCTCCATCGGGCCTGGGACACAAATCATCCTTTGTCCAGCGTATCCACGCTGTATACACTACCTGCCCATTAGCCACTTAGTAGCTGTCTCGGTTATCAGATCAACCGTGGAGGTATCGCAGTGCTTGTTTTCAAGTAACCCTTATTTTACTTAATAATGGCCCCAAAGTGCAAGAATAGTGATGCTGGCAATTTGGATATGCCAAAGAGAAGCCGTAAAGTGCTTCCTTTAAGTGGAAAGGTGAAAGTTCTTGACTTAATGAGGAAAGAAAAAAAATTGTATGCTGAAGTTGCTAAGATCTATGGTAACTTTCATTGCAGTATATTGTTATAATTGTTCTATTTTATTATTTGTTATTGTTATTAGTCTCTTACTGTGCCTAATTTATAAGTTAAACTTTATCATAGGAATGTATGTAAAGGAAAAAATATAGTACATATACCATTCGGTACTGTCTGTAGTTTCAGGCATCCACTGGGGGTCTCCCCACGGATAAGGGAGGATGACTGTAGTCTAGTTAACAGTATTGTACCAGTGTCAATATCCTGGTTTTGACATTATACTCAAGTCATATAAAATGTCACCAGTGGGGAAAGCTGTGTGAACAGTTCAAGGAACTCTACATATTTTTGCAATTCCCTGTGAGTCTATAATTATTTCAAAAATATATTTTTCCTCTCAAGCTTCATGTATCAGTTGTTTGTGACATTTAACCGTAAGTTTGATGAATGAACTGAAAGGGCAGGAAGATAAACCAAGGAGGCGCGCTTCATGTCTTTTTGCTTTACATCTCTGTTTTTAAGAGAATCAGGAAACAACGGTATTTGGTGCTCTGCCAAGACTTAATGAAGACTGTCTTGTTAAAACAAAAGTGCTTTGAAAAAGGGCTATCATTTCTTTCCTCAGAAACCTTCACGGCTCTCTTTTACTGACAAAATTAAGTCATGCTCTTCATCCTGGTGTTGAAGGCCTCCTGCAATATGGCCCCAACTTAACTTTTCAGCTCCATCTTCCTCTGCTGCTTTATGAGATTGTTTCAATCTGTTCTCTACACCAGAGCCTGAGTTGTCTTTAAAACTCAAATTTGGCTTCCCATGGCACTTAGCCTAAAGACTCAAAGCCTTGACCTGGTCGTCAAGACTCCTGGAGTCTGGCCCCAGCCTCCTTCTCCAGGCCATCTTGTACCACTCTTCTCCTCACTCTCCGTGCCCAGCCACGTGGCCTTGTCCACAGCCTCATCTTTGCCATGGTCCTTCCTACCACCGGGCCTTGAGCATGTTGTCGTCTTTGCTTGGACCTCTTTCCCTGTCAACCAATCTCCCACTCCTCTTTAAGATCTTAGCTCCACCATCAGTTCTCTAGGAAAATCTTCCTCAACCCCCCAGTTTAAGTCAGGTTGTTTTGACAAATGTTCTCATAGAACTGTGTTGCTTTCCTTTAGAACACTTATCCTTGATTATAATTATACATCCATTCATTTGGCGAATTGACAAAAGGCTGCCTTCCCCATTTGACTGGAAGCTCCATGAAAATACGGACAGTATCTATTTTTGCTCACAAGTGTGTTCACCACCTAATACACTGTCTTGAACATGGAAGTATTCAGTAATTATTTTTTAAGTGACTGGATAAATCAAACTGAAATAATTGTTCTCCAATCATATTCCTTGCATCTCCTGCCTCCATGCTTCTGTCATGCACTTCATTGCATGTGCAAAGCTATACCCACATTTTATCCTCTCTACATTTTATCTAATCTTATCTGAATGGATACTTTTTTGCCTTTGGAAATAAACATCATCTCTGTCTTTGAAAACTGTAGCATCTAGGTGTCTGCTCTCTTCCTATACTAGGTGTTGCAATCAATAGACTGTGCTTCTTATCCCCTTAGTTCATAAGCTCCTGGAGGGCAAAGCTTATTCATCTCTCTTTATATTACCGGCAATAACTAGTGCATTTCTCAGATGCCTTATTAATGTGTTTTCCGTTATTGATTAATATCAGCAAAAGCTCAAGGCTGAGCACATGTTTTGTGCGCAACTAATATTTATAGAAACACGGGAAAATCATCACTGGTCTTTGTTTATTTCGCTGATTTGCAATGAATAAACAGAATTAAATTACTGAACAGTACAGACATGGTTCCCAGAGCAAATGCCTTCTGTTCTGACCATTTATTATTATTTAACAGGTTTATTTGTTGCAGGTGGCAAAACGGTTCCAGAACCGTTAGATTCAACTTGCTTTTTTACTTCCTCCTGTTCCTTGCTCAGTAAATAACAATGAAGACCAATTGACATTTCAGTGGAATTATTATTTTTCTTACTACAGAATTAAACTTTTTCATAGAATGCAGCATGAAATAGTGTGTCAAGCAGCTAATTTGAGAGAGGTGGCAGGATGGATTAGGATGGTGGTGTATAACACGAGTTGAACTAAACACCTGAGGGCCAGGGGACCAGTTGTTAAGAATAAATTGTCCACAAAAAAAAAAAGAAAATTTAAAAATTTTAAAAAGTAAAAAAAAAAAAAAAAACCCCATAGAACTTAAGAAACCAGCAATGGGTTGTGACTTTTCTTTTTTTTTTTTTAATATAATTTTATTTATTTATTTTTTTCCCCCAAAGCCCCAGTAGATAGTTTTATGTCATAGTTGCACATCCTTCTAGTTGCTGTATGTGGGACGCGGCCTCAGCATGGCCGGACAAGCAGTGCGTCGGTGCGCGCCGGGGATCCAAACCCGGGCTGCCAGCAGCGGAGCGCGCGCACTTAACCGCTAAGCCACAGGGCCGGCCCGGTTGTGACTTTTCTATGTTTAACAGAAAAAACAAAAGTCAACCGTATTCCAAAGGGAGAGGTCTCCTCTTCATTCTCCCCTAGGCCTGTTTATAATTTTTGACTTTGGGCTAATGGGCCCAATTCTGCCATGAAGCCCACATTCCTCTCTTCCTTCTCCTACCAAATCTGTATAGACATTCTGGAGGGCTCTACATTTAGGTATAGAACTGCCGGGAATTTCTGTGCCCCAAAATACTGGAAATCAATGCAATTTAATTAACTTCTTTAAACAGTGATTCAGTACCTAGTATGTGCTGGGTTTTCTATGAGGTACTAGAGATTCAAAGGTGAACAAGAAATCAGCCTTGTTGTGAAAGAGTTCACAGTTTGGGGGAATAGATGGGAAGATTCAAACATCATTCTTAGGTAAGACAGCTTGTGGAGACAGAGCTAAAAAACAGTGTCATGGGAGTACAGGAAAGAGAGTATCTGTTGTCATTGTCGGGCTTATTAAAGTGAGGTGGGAGCTAAGCTGGGTGTAGAGGATTGCGTTTGTCTTCCCAGCATCCATCCACCGTGTCACCTCTCCCTCAGTGGGTGACAGGTACATGATCAGGTGGGATTGATCCCACCCTGACTCCAGGAGTGAGTGCTGACTGGGGAGCCAGCGATTCTCAACCAGAGATGGTACCTGTCTGCAAGAGGGCATTTGGAAATCCATGGGGACACTTCTGGTTGTTACAAAGGCTGAAAAAGATGCTATTGGCATTTAGTGGGCATGGGTTAGGAATATTAAATGATGGATAAAGTAGGAAAGGGACCCACATCATGAAAAATTGTCCCACCCCAAATGCCAGTAGTACTACTATTGAGAAACATTTGTCTAAACCAATCAGAGAAATCTCATCCTGTATCGGCTCAGAGAGTTCAGGTCTAAGCCAGTTAGCTGACAGCATTCCCTGCCATCAGTGTGGTCCAATCGGAATACAGCTCTGGACTTTTCCTCCAAGGTTGTAGGCAAGCATCCTTTCTGTTGCTCACTGGGCTTGCAGGAAGAAGCATGGAGCCTTCTCTAAATCTGGTTTAGATAGCTTCCCATTCAATCTATATAATCTAAATTTATTCAGGTGGTTTGTTTGCTTGTGTGTTTCTCCATTTTTGTTGTTGTTGTTTCTAAGAAAATTATTAGGGTGATAGGAATATTGTTGAAGTATCAAGTCTAAGTAAAATCTAATATGTGAACAATGCTTTGTTTTCATCTTGGAGCTTTGGAATGATTATAATTCATAATATTGCCGTAAAAAGAGAAATAAGGTGAAACGAAAATAGTCAAGTTTATTATTTATAGTGTAATGAGAAATATAAGTGGTATCTGGTGAAAATTGCGAAAACCTAAGTTAAACTTACAATTCTGTGCGTGTGTGTGTGTGTGTGTGTATACATATGTGTGCACATACACATGTACGTGAAAGAAAAAGAGAGAGGGGGAGGGAGGACACAGTGGCTACCTTCATGCATAACACATTACAGGAATTTAAATCTTGTCCCTTTAGGAAACCTTCTGTCCCTTCAGGTTGCTAAATCTCCACACTAAATGAAGCTAAAAGATTATTAAGCACTTTGATTACTTTATCAAAGTCCATTAACATATTCTAAAATGTCATAAGTTGCAATTAAAATAGATTTCTTTTTATGCTTATTAATAATTCTCCTACTGACATATGATTAGTTACCAGTATTCATAGCTACAAATTATTTTCCTACATTGTCAATGGTTACTGTGGTGTATTAAGAACGAAGAGGAAACAGATGTCCAATTACACTTGAATTAAGAAAAATTAATAAAACGTAGAAATACAGTTCAAGTTAATTTTTACACAGCCTATTTCCTTTTGTTGCAAAACTTTTAGAGTAGTATTTGGATTCCCAAGTGACTAAACTGAAAGTAAACTACATCTGGAAATTGAGGAAGTTGAGAAGGAAAGAAGAGCCGTCAGTACCTGGATACTAGTCAGAGTCGTGTACTGGTAAGCCTTGACCACCAGGTAATTTGCTTCCAGGTCTATGAGTCCCAGGATCATGTACTTCCACCACCTTCGTCGTAAAATTGCCAGGAGGTTTTCTTCTCCTGTGTTACCAAATTAAGAAGAAATGGGTTAGGTTCTGAACACATGCTCAACTGTCTATTTAGAAGGATTCTACAATATTATAGTATTATGTTCTTTACCATACTTTGTCAGATGTTTAATTAAACAAATAAATCAATGTGTCAAAGACTGACATGTTTTGACTTAGCTAATAGTCTTCATTGTAGATTTCAGCCCTTCAAATTGGTTTCTATGCCAGACGAAGACTGGGCAGGGTTTTAGATCACCATGTGAGACATTTTCTCAGGAACATTTGAAGAAAAAAGTCACACCATGTAAAAATATAAGGAAAAGTGTGCCAGAAAGGTTGCATAAACACACAAAGTCCAGATCAGCCTAAATTTCTATTGTGGTAAAATAGATAGAAATGAAAGAGGGTAGCCCAATGGACAAAGGCCTATGCTTGGCAGCAGATCTGCAGTAAGGCTCTAAGATGCCACCCTGAGTGCTGGAGATTACACGCCTTGAACGTTACACTCTGGTGGTGTGGGGGTGATGGGAAGAGAGAGGAAGCTGGGGATCACTCTCAGGTGGAAAAGAGCGCCATGGGACCATGGTCTCAATGCTGCCAACAACTGTAATCTCCACCATCTTGCCTCTTAAGCTGATAGCATCAGAACAGACTTTAAATCTCTTACTTCTTCATCCTAAGTTTTACAGATTTCAGGCATAAAATAAAACTTATTTCTCAAGAGGCAATAATGATTATTAATCATAATAGCTCTCTGGAGCCAACCTGTGAGGTCTTCATAGAGGATGTGGAATATGCAGAAACCCTGAATGAATGGTGACTATTCATTATCTATTGCTGCATAACAAATTATCCCAAAACATAGCTGCTTAAAACAACAAATATTTATTATCTAATAGTTTTTGTGGGTCAAGAAACTGGACACAGCTTAACTGAGTTCCTCTGGTTCAAGGTCTCTCATTGAGTTGCAGCCAAGGTGTCAGCCATGGATGCAGTCTCAGATGAAAGATTGACTGAGGAGTCAATCTTTGACTTGAAAGATTGACTTGAGGGAGCTTCCAAGCTCACTCACATGGCTGCTGGCAGGCTTTGATCCCTCACCACAAGGGCCCCAGCACAAGGCTGCCTGAAAACATGGTAGTTGCTTTCCTCCCAGGATGAGCAATTCGAGAGAGAAAGAGAGAAAGGTGGAGGGAGAGAGAGAGAGAAAAAACTCAAGATGGAAACCACAGTCTCTCTTAATAACCTAATATCAGAAATGACACTTCTATCTTATTCTGTTCTTTAGAAGAAAGTCAGTCAGTCCAGCGCACACTCTCAAGAGAGAGTATTTCATAAGAGTGTGAATACTAGGAGGCAGGGATCATTGGACACCATCTTAGAGGCTGGCTACCCGGCGATACACATCTTCAATATTACAGCTGTGCTTTAGCTGGTCCTCAAGAACCATAATAGACTCTACATCCTCTCCTGTCTCTCGGTTACTCTCATAACTTTGAGTTCCTGATTCATGCCTTTTGTCTTATTCCAATGACTATCACATAAGGTGATCTTTTCAACCTGTGGAGACTTGTGAAAACAAAGCTTTCCAGCTACACAGAGAATGTCAGAGGGTGGGTTGTGGCTAGTTAGTACAAGGAGGGAGAGACCTCTTCACCTTCAGTAGCTAACCCAGTTTTCTAGCCTCATTTTGGATGCCATGCTTCTCATATCCTTTGCTCCAAGCACATTAAAAATCTTTCTGTCTCAGTGAATTGCTAACTCCTGTTCATTCTTCACATCGAGCTATTCTCTGCTATTTTGTCTGACATCACTCCCCAACCAGGCAATGTGTACCCAGCTCTGTATAGTCCTTTCACATGATTGTGATTACTTAGAAATTGTCTCTTCACTGGACAGGGAGTTTTTGGGTGGTAAGACATCAAATATCTTACTCATATATGTACCGACAGCACCTAGCATACCGACATATGGTAAGGGTTAGCTAAGTGTTTTGGAATAAAGAAATAATTGAACTGAAAAAATTGTGAAGTGCTATCTATCCAAATATGTCACGGTCAATTCTAGAATATGAGTCACACTTCTTACTGTTTTGCGCTTAGATTCATAGCTGGTGAATATGATCCCCAAGGTCATTTCTTCACAGCCAGCTCATTTTGGCAATGTCCTTGCACAGCATTTCCGCCTTTTCTACTTGCCTACATATTTGATAAATCAACACAACTCTTAGGATTTATTTTGTAAATTAGTGAATCTCAACCTGACTGAACATTCACATCTTCTGGAGATTTTTTTAAAATCCCAATGCCTGGGACCAGCCCCCAGAAATTCTGATTTAATTGGTTTGGGGTGGGGTCTGGGCATCAGGCTGAGGACCAAATCTAGGACTTTCAGATACTTGATGTCCAATGGCCATCCACAGGATGACATGGGCTAGGAATTCCAGAGAGATATAACCACAGAGTAGTGAAGACTCTTCATACCAAAGAAACAACCCAAACATTTGTTCCAAAATGTGCTTTCTTTCTCTTGTTTCTGGGCTTTTCCATGTGTTGATTCCCCTCCTTGGACTATTCTTCCTCCAGTCTCCAAATGAAGGGTCAGCATAGACACTGCTACCAGGAAGCCTTCCTTGATCTCTCACATTGATTTTCCTAGACTGGGTTGGGTTTCCCTGTAATGTGCTCCTTTAACACTCATTGCTTATCCCACATATAGTACTTATCTCCCTGTATTATAATGATCTGTTTCCTTGACTCTATTACCCATTAGATTATTAACAATTTGAAGAGAGTGGCATTGTCTTGGGCATCACTTTATCTTTAGGACCCAACAGTACTTGATGAGCAGTCAATAAATAATATGGAATGTATGAATAAATTTCATATTTAATAATCTCAGCAATGCTAAATAGCATTGAAATTTAGGTATTTAAAATATATCTACTGTAAACATTCATGTTCCAGACAATGATAATTGTTTTCTAGTTAGAATGCAGAGAACATCTGACAAAATTAATTTGGTGACCATTTTACACTTAATACACTCTGCATAGGACACAAAAATGTTGATGGCATATTTAACCAGGAAGCAGCAATTCTATAGTCACAGGTCATTGTCCCAGTTAATTTCCACAATGAACAGAGAATTGCCAAACTCGGAGCACACCAGCCACATCTCAATATATAACACTGAAAATCTGGGTCATAGTGCTGTTTGTTACACCAATCAATAACATATTCAAGTGTAATTCATTACATAGATTCAAAGGAATGATTAGCTGCCTTGCTGTTCTGCTGAAGAGGTTTGCAAAGCAAAACACCCAAAATAAATGCTTCCATATTGTTTCATTTGAAGCACATGAAAACATACAACATGCTTGCTTAGCGGAATTATCCAGGAAGGTGAGATAGTGCTTTTTTATTTTTGGCTGATGAAAAAATGCACATAAAAGAACTGCTTAGGGATTTATCTACCTGACTCTCATTAACACTGATGTACAATAGGCCATTAAAATTCTTTCTAGAATAATGAAAATACATTCTTTACAGCCCTTGTGCCAAAGCGCTCCCTAAACCTCATGAAATAGGGCCATTCTTAAGAAACACCGGCACAATTGGTGGTATGTTAATGTTTTGAAATTCTTTTTTTTTTTTAATTAACTAGAAGAAGTAATAAAATCCATGGGTGGAAACTTTAGAATTATGGTTTGGCATTTAAATGCAGCATCCTCCATGTTCATGTTTTTTTACACATTTTCTACATACGTATGTATCCAAAACAGTATATAAGTTTCATTGGCATGTTTTTAGACTTTAAATGAATGTTTATTGTATATACCGTACATGCCATTCTTCTAGGGTTCTTTATGCTTAACATTGTTTTAGAAATGTATCTCTATTGTTTCATGTAGAGCTAATTCATTTATTTTAAACAATGTATATCGTCACCATTAACGAATATGCCACCATTTATCCAGTCTCCCATTGATAGGCATCTAAGTTGTTTCTGGTTTTTCTCTATTGGGAACAGTGCAGCAAAGAAAATCTTTGCGCTTGTGTATCTCTATAATTGGTACAGAATTTTATTTTGTTTTTATTCTGTTTTTAAAGGACTGTGGAGTATGCAAAAAGCATTCACAAATGTGTAAAACCTAATTAAAGGAAGTTATTCTAATTTAAAATAACAGCATTCTAGCAATAATAACTACTTCAATAATTGAGAACGGAGGGGGAAATTATTGACAATCTTGATATGTGATCCATATCTAAACTTACTAAGCATCAACAGGATGATCAATCAAATGTGTTTTTGAATTTTTGTAACAAATACTTGTATGATACTTACTATGTATCAGGCAGTGTCTACATGCTTTACAAATATTAACTTACTTAATCCTCATAGTAACCCTATACAGTAGATATTACTATTAACTCTATTTACAGATGACAAGACTGAGGCCTGGAGGAGTTATGTAACTTGCCCAAAATGTCACACAGACAGGCCAGGATTTGAACTCATGACAATCAGGCACAAGGCTTCATACTCATTAGTATTGTACTATTTTGCCTCACTGATTTTTAACTGTGGCATTGTCCTGAAGAGTCACTCATTTCTCATTAAAGGATCTTTCATGATCTACCTGTCCAAACTCATCTGGCAGGGTGCCCCACTGCCAACTCCAGGGGGTGCCTGTCACACTGAAGCTGATGTGCATGGCATCACCCCGGAGTCAACAGTGCCCAGTTGTGCAGCTGTGTGTCCACGCCTGAATCAGCTTAGAGATGAGGATGTGTCCCACCACCATCACTTCAGTATCAAGGATTTGATGTCTCCCAGCCCGATCTAAGTCCATGACAGGGTTTCCTTCGTGAAATGTAAAATAAGGCTTTAAATCAATTTTATGGCTTAAAAAAGTCTAATTACAAGAATTACTGTCACATGCTGTACTACTTGCTGAGGCCTCAGGCATAAAACAATGGCCACACACCGGGTGAGGTGAGGGTGGTG